AAAGCATCTTTCCTTCTTGCAGGAAAGCAAATCCATTTTCTAGCACCTGGCTGGCTTGACTGCCTGGGAAGGTGTTGTACTAATTATAAAAAGGGATGGTGGAAATGAGGAACAAATCTGGTTTTACTGAATGTACAGGGTGTTGAAAACTAAGAATGTGAAAAACAGAAAATTCGCGTTGAAAACTAAGAATGTGAAAACCAGAAAATTCTCTGCTTCAGAAGCAGCAAAATGATGCATTTTATTAACACAGTTTGGACCTGTTTGGTAACTTCTGAGATCTAGAGGTAATGCTGGACAAGGATTGTGGCAGTTTCTGCTTTTAACACCTGTGTAGGATTACACAGGTAAAAAAGAAATTGCAAGGGAACTCTGCTATTCCTGGATAATCTGTCACTAAGTTTTCTAGTTGCTGTAAACTCAGGAATAAGGGATATCAAACAAAAGCACAGGCACTGTGCTCAGGAAGGGACTGGAGGTGGCACTCAGTCTGGCTGACAGGGTGATCTCGGTGATCCCTGAGGTCACAGAGTTCACAGAATTCACAGAATCACAAGGTTTGAAGAGAACATAAAGATCAAATCCAACCCATGCCCTAACATCTCAACTAAACCATGGCACCCAGTGCCCCATCCAGCCTTTTTTTAACATCCAGGGATGGTGACTCCACCACCTCCTCAGGCAGACTGTTCCAGAACTTTATCACTCTTTCTGTGAAAAACCTTTTCCTAATATCCAACCTGTAGTTCCCTTGATGCAGCTTAAGATTGTGTCCTCTCGTTCTGTCAGCTGCTGCCTGAGAAAGAGACTGACCCTCACCTGACTACAACCACCTTCTAGGAAGTTGTAGAGAGTGATAAGGTCACCTCTGAGTCTCCTTTTCTCCGGGCTAAGCACCCCCAGCTCCCTCAGTCATTCCTCACAGTGTTCCAAGCCCCTCTCCAGCCTCCGTGCCTTCTCTGGATGTGCTCAAGTGTCTCAACGTCCTTCCCAAACTGAGGGGCCAGAGCTGGACACAGCACTCGAGGTGTGGCCTCACCAGTGCTGAATACAGGGGGAGAATGACCTCCCTGCTCCTGCTGGCCACACCATTCCTGACACAGGCCTTCCCCAACCCAAATATCCCATGTCTCTGTGCCACTTTGGAGATGCAAAGCCAGTTGGAGCCTGGCAGAGTCTGCTGTGACACTAGAGGTCAGCACGGGCACAGCTCCATGGGCAGCAGGAATCTGCCCTGCCAGTGCTGCCTCCGAGGGTGGCACAGCCCCCAGGACTGGCACAGCTCGGGCTGCACAGATCCTTTCCTGGAAAAAGGAGCTCATGATCACTGCAGCCATTTGCTCGCATCAGATCTAATCTGAAATAAACTCCCTGCGCTCCTACAGCTACTAATAAGTTGTATCCCAAGGGCACAGGATAGAAAAAGGCACGAAAGAGTCTGTGGAATGAAAACTCATCCTAAGACAATATTAAAAATGAAGCTGGAACTCCAGGTGCACTGAGGAGGTCAGGAGCTGAAAGACAGCAAGAATCTCTCAGACACGCTGAGTCTACCTTTGTATCAGTATCACTTGTAAAATCTAGGAGTTCTCCAGACACTTTAGGGAGGGAGGAATAATAAATAATAAAGCTGAAGTGTAGTGAAAGATAACTTCCAGCCTGAAAATGAATACTTCAGCTCAGTTGTGGGCAATCAGACAGCCCTGAATTCTGAAGGATGTGGAGAATAAAATCACAACTGTAATAGAATGCATTTATGTAGTAAGTCTCTCAAGTTCATGTAATACCTTATGATGGAAGAAAAGCAAAAAGAAACATCTAAATTAAAGCAGGAGAAACATTTTTTTCAACTTACCCATAACATTTTAGTAAAAAAACCCCAAACTTTTAAGATATTTCAGAATAGAAAGACATTTCAAAATGGAATTGGCTCATTACTGAATAACACAAAATAACTGTCAATGCAGAAAGAATAAGTATGTGATATTTGTATTCTGTGTTTGAGCTGGTAAAATGCAAGATGATGTGCCAACCTCGTCTGAGGGAATATTTCTACTCTCAGAATATTCTGCAGAATGTAAAAAACTGGCTACAAAATTGACTCTTTTTAAAACAAGGTAGCATGAATGTCTTGTTTGTACTAATCTTTTAAAAGCAGGCAAAAGAACTTTGCAGGCCACAATAATGATTTTCATTTTATTCTTCTTTTTCCATTGGATCTCAAAATGTCAAGGAAACTTCTTTAGACTGGAAAGCAGCAGGTCCTGTGCTGGTGCCATTAAAGGGCAAATGAGACAACCTGGATAATTGGAAGACCACAGACCTGGCATCCACCCTAGCAAAATAATGGAGCAATTCCTACAAGTCTCAATTAATGGAGGATAAAAGAAAAGAAGTAGAATTAATGCCAGTCAATATGATTTTTTTTTGGAAAATAGAACTTGCCAAGCTGGCGTGGTATCTTTGAAGAGAACACAGGAACCAGGTGTTGTTCTGTCCTGCCCACTTCCAGAAAACAGTTGGGATTGCAATAAAGTTCCCTAAAAATGGAACATTTGTTAGAAGAGAGATTATACATCAGCCTGACATGAAACACCTGCCCAGCAGTTTTACTGGGCCTGGAGTGTTTAATTGGAGTTTGTTTTTTCCAAGAACCATTCCTCTTTCCTTCACTCATGGTGTGCAAATGACAAGCCTCTATTAAACACAATTGTTCAAACTTAATAGCAAATGGAAGCTGCTGGAAGAAATGTCCCTAAATCTCTCTTGCTGTGGTGCTGGTGTGGAAAAGGCTGAGTCTGAGCTTCATTTCCTCCACATTGAAATGATCTACTTTCTAAATCATTATCATAAGAAATTCTGCTGCTTTGGAAAGACTATGATGCAAATTCTTGCAAGTGGCACAAGTTTGTGATGTTTCTCAGCTGACGTTCTTTCAGCAATCCCAACAGACCTAATTTAATTTCTAATCATTTCACCATGCCTAACACATTTTTCTAAATTACTTCTGCATTTTTACTCAGAGGGAATACTGGCTGATTTTTGCTTATAAAGCTTTTCCCTTTCATTCCCATTGTTTCCTATGCAGAGGGAATGCACAGAGCAATTCTGTGATCAGCTGCTTTCACTCCATGCCATATTTCAATAATAATATTGCAGATACTGTGCATTCCATATATTTCATTTCCCTCCCAGCTCCAACCTCTATCACATTACTCACAGAAACACTGAACCTCATTCTGGGTGCGGGACATTTTTTAAGCCAGCCCAGCAAAATATGGGAGTGCACAAGTTCACTGCCAGAGAAAATGTGTCCCTTTTGTTCCTATTTAATTACATTTTCATCCTTTTTAGTGAAGAAGAATGGCATATTTATAGCCTTAAGCTATGTTAACATTATTATTCCCATTGTACCATAAGCAAATAGGAAAACAATTGGAAAGAAAGCAATATTTATAAATTACAGTAAATGTGAAGGCAATAGTTATAAATTACAGTAAATATCTGGTGCTTTCCCAGACACATGGCATAAGTCTTCATAATTTCATGTCAGAAAATTTGTAACATGCTTCTGTTTATATTCTTTTCTTGCTTCCAGCTTTCATAATCCTTTTGTTCCTCTTGTGACAATTCTTTTCTTAATTTTTGTGTCCTTTTGAATGATCAAAGACATTCTTGCTCAAAAAACAATCATTGTCTACTAAGAGAATCCTGTCACATACTGAATTTACCTCCTGGAGTAATTCTCAAGGAAGTCTATAAGGATTTGTAACAAACAGGTTTGGTTACTCTCTCTTCAAAATCACTAAAAAGATGGAAAACTTTTTTCTTATCTTTGAACTTCACCTCATGCTCTCAGAATTTTCTACAGATTTGGAGACAAATGGACAACTCAAATTTAATGCAGGGTTACTGTTCCTACACTGGGCAATTCCAGCCTCAATGTTCTTTTCTTTAATACATCTCTCCATCTCTAAATTCTGACTTTTGTCAAGCCCTTTGAAGAGTTACACAACTATTCTCCCTGTATTCCCAGAGCCTGGATCCATTCTCTCAAAATATTAGATCTGGTTTTGCCTCCTCCTCTTTTCCACTCTCAAAAGGGAGATAGAAAAGGAAGAGCAATCTCTCCACATAGGAAAAAAAAAAAGAAAAGTATACCTTTCAGTTTATAATGACATGCATAAAAGAAAAACACCTGTAAATGAATGATACAATGCATAAATTTTAGTGTATCATCTATGTAATGCCAGAAGTTCTTAATCAATACAACAGAGATCTAAAAACACATCAATAGATGATTTCAAACTGTATATACTCCTGGAGAACATTAATTATATTCTCAGAGCTCATTTATAATGAGCTTTTAATTAGAGAGGATGTCCTCACATCTTAATACTTAAAAGCAGAGAAATGATGAGATGGTAGGTAAGTCTTAAAATAACCTGCTTTAATGTAGATTACTTTTTCTTTTATTATAGCAGGACTACAAAGGCTCCTTGCTTAATGTTACTTGTGGCAATACACGTGCGTGATAAAGGGGGATTCGATTTCCTTTGTCCTCAGTAAGGATGGGTGTGGGCATCCCACTAAAGTATGCCTCCTCTAGCATTCAGAGAAAGGTCAACAGGGCTGTGAACAAGAGCTATGACTTCCTCAGACTGGGAGATGACCGGCCAGGTTTTCTTCCCTTATTTATTTGTCTCATTAGACATTCTCCCACACTTCAGGAAACAAAAAACAACATAATCCTATACAAAATGTCTGCATACAGCTCTGTGTAAAAGCTTTGGTACTTCCCAGCATAGTTTCTCATGAGAAAGTCTGCTTGCTTGGACAGTAAAATCCAATCAATAAACCCCCCAATATTTATTAATTCAGCAGCTTGGCTTTATCCAATTCTCCTATTTCTAGCAGTGCACAAAGGTCCTGATGTGTCTGTTGGGATAGACACGTGGCATTTGTCACGTTAGGGCTCAACACGGGCTTGATGTGATTACCTGGTTTGCTTTCATTTGGTTTGCACTGAACTTCTTCCACACACTCTGCAGGAAACCAGCCAATATGTCCCCGGGTGCTGCCTTCCCAGAATCCACCTTCTCCGATGCTCAGCACTAAACAGGGCAGACACAGGCAGTGTTACACTTTGCCTCCTCACACAAATACACAATTTTTGCATTATGCCTTCATCAATCCCTGAAAACAAGCAAACACAGTGCAATAACTAACAATGGTACCCACAAAAACAGAACAGCGTAATCTTTAAGCAGGACCCTCCCTACTCAATCTTTGTAACCACTCCCCAAATTTATTTTTTTTACCACAAGTTTCCTTGGCCTTCACACAATTGTTTCCCTTTTCAGTGTTCTCACTGCTGGATTAATCAAGGATAAAAACACGGTAATACCACTACCAAAAAAACACTGTCTTGTCTGCTGACATGAAGTGCTGAACCCATTGTCAAACTGCACCCACAGTGAAATGGATTTCAATAATACATATTTTGATATCTCCTGCTTTTTCTGCCCCCTAAGGAAACATGTTATTTCATTTAGTGGGTAGCTCCAGGGATTTGCAATGCAGGTTGAGTAATATGATTTAAGGGTTTGAATACACAGCAAACACTTGAACCTCCCATAGGTGAGATCCACAATGGAGATGCCTTTTGAAACATTTCAATTATTTTTTCTTCAATAGAAGAAAACAACAATACGGAGGAGAATGATTTGTCAATACCAGAAGAGGTTTTTATCTGGCACTTCTAATTATCTTGATATTGATACTAGGACTCGGCAAGAATTGTGACAAAAGCCTGCAGAGCAAGAATTTTATTAGTAAGCAATTGGAGGTGAATTATGGTGATGGAAGGACCCTAAATACTTGCTATGGTGTTTAAATTAGTATTATAGAAGTTCCTGCAAACCACTCTATGTTTACTATATATTAGAAGATTATAAATGTACTGTTAGAAAGATGCTGTGCATTAATATTGAAACAAAGGTGATACATCAACAAAAACAGGTTGATTGAGAATATGGATCAGACACACAGCACAGGCATGTGTGTCTGATCCATATTCCCACAGAGCTTCCCAAAATCAGCCCAGCTCCATCCACTGAGTGCCAACTCAGCTGCAACTGCCCCTGCTGAAAATCAAGGCTAATTAGCCCAAATCCATCTCTCTGCTGAGGGATTCCACTACCTGGGAATCTGTCTCTGCAGGGTATTTCAGTGCAGGAGGGACATAAAGGAGAGCAGCTTTGATGGTCTCCAATACCAGCACTTCTGGCACTGTTAAAACCTTGCCAGGCTTTAAAAACCTGGTCCCTGCCTGGCTGCAAATGAACTCGGGATCAGGGCAGCTGCTGTGACTCAGGAGCACGGAAGCTGAACTTGATTTGCACTGGTACAGAGCAGGATGAAAATTAAATTTATCAGAGCCCCAAAAAAAGTTAAAACAATTAAAATTATTGGTAATGTAAAAGCAGTCTGGTCTGAGACACCAGGAGCTGTAAAACTGCATTTGAAAATATGTGTTTACCAGGCTTTTTATTAATGCAACCTTCGGCTATTCATGGTATCACTTACAGAGCACAGCCATCTATTAACAGAGACATTTGACAGCAAAATGTTTATAAATACATCTATTTTAAGCCTTTTAATGTAGTATATTCCAGAAGACAAGATTCTATGAATTGCACATTTACACACCACCACAGTAAGAAGTACATACTAAGTCTCAGGAAACATCCATTAAGGAAAAGTCCTGCATCTGGATGGGTCCTAAATGCACAATTTCTCAAGCAACTTCCTGACATATATGAGGAAATCTATAACCCATAACTCCTATAAACCTAGCAAGTTATGGGATACTGGGGGAGGGCACTGACCTTGGATGACACCAACAACTCTACAATGAAAATTGAGCTGAATTAAAAAATGTTAGCATGTCTTTTTTTAAAAAATATAAACATGGGCCATAATTAATGAAAAAAATATGTTGCTGTATTTCAGGTGTTCTTAAATATTTAAAGCCTGTTCACATCAACTAACACACATTGTCCATCTGATAATTCAGTGTTACATAAAACATTCCCTGATTATCCAACCAATATAAATGGGGAATTCAGCAGCTTCCAATACACTTTTAACAATGTAACATCTGCTCACATAAGAAAGCATTTCTTAGAGATGAGATAAGGAACCAGGAAAACCTAATAACCTATATGTATATATTAGAATCATTGTAGAATCTGACAGTACATTGGTTTAATTTCAGTCATAAAATAGAGTGTAGGACTCCAGCCAAAAGAAATTTCCAAATCTGAGACGGTGAGAGTCCTATTGCCAGTAATTAGCTGCCTTTTTTTTTTTTTTTTTTTTTGAGAGGAGTTTTCAGCACTGAATCTCAGTCCTGAATTTCACTCCACAAACTGGCAAGATGCTCATAACAAAAACTACTTAGATTTTGAGATAGACTTCCCTAATTTGGTATTTTATTAATCTGTCAGATCTGCTGACACTCCAAATTGCACAGATATTTCCAGCTCTAGAAAGAGAGAGGCACTGCAAGGAGGACGTTGGGTATTTCAAACCCATAGAGTGGTTTCATGTGTTTGTGGCAGTAGCAGCTGATGTAAATCAACACTTTTGGGAAATGAAATTGGCCTTGGAAGTCTGTGAGTGCAGGGTGAAAAGGGATTCCTACAGATCAGAACCAGACCTACTTTAGCCCATTAATATATGAATTATTGAGTATTAGCCATCACTAATAGCCAGAGCAAAGGAAAAACTCGTGTAGTCCTGCCTGAAGACATAACATTCATGGAAAAGAAGTGGAAGGGTGAAATGAGTGCTGCTGTAATGCAGGCAGCCTTCAGCATTCTGGGAAAAGCCTCATGCTGGGGGTCCAGAGAATAAGGAAAATCCTGCTGGAGATGCAAGAGACAAATGAGGGACAGCCCTGGGTTCAGTTGATGTGCAGAGACGGACAAATCGCTGTGGATATGGGGGACAAGCTCATAATCCAATGTAGAAGTTGATCTCTAGATGGTTCTGCATCCCCTAAAACCTTAAAAAGATCTTCATCCCACTCACATGGTGCCATTAATAAGAAATTCTGCAGCATGAGCCAAGGCCATAACAAATTATAGATCTATAAAAACTGGCAATACTTCACTCACTCGAAAGTGAAGAACTTAAAGGGTAAATAGAAAAATGCAATTTATCTATTGTAGCCATGAATGGGCTTTTTTAAAAATTAGGCCTTCATTTCTATCTTTCCTCTCCTAATAGTGTTTAAGAGATTCAATGTAACAGATAATTTGTTACCAGCAAGAGATTTTCTAATCAATGATTTCCCTGCTGAAGGACAAAACAATGGCAAATCAAAGGATAACTTTCCCAAAATTAGTAATAAGGCTTTCTAATTTCCAGTGGGTTTTGCTTTTCTTTCGGTAAAATCAGAAGGTGTGTTTGTATGGCAAGAGCAGGTCAGAGGCTCTTCACATACAACCTGAATTACAAAAATAATCTGATGTTGTAAGAGTGAAATAAAGGTTCTTGTAACATCAGGAATCCTGGGACATTTCTTCACAATGGTTTAAAAGGGTGGTTTAAAAGAGGAGTTGTGTTCAATTATATGAAAAAAAAACTGCAAAGCAAAACCGGATAAGCACCAAACTACTGGATAATAGGAAAACATGGATAGGCAGGTGGCAATCAGGAGCTCCTATTTTAATGTCTTCAAAGCATTATACTTAAAATCTGTGAGATTCTGCCAGAAAATTATATATTTCAAATATTTTACAATATTATATATTGTAAAATTAATAGAATAGAGCATAGAATGCTTTGTCTCTTGCAAATTTAAGTCTATTGGCAACATAACTATTGTAATTGATATTAATATAACATATTAATCTCAAACAGATTAATTACTTAACATACCATCAAAATAATTTTAATCAAAAGAATGTAGAATTAGTATCCTCCTGCATTACAGCTCCCTCCATGTCCCAACAAGAAAAGAAAGTATTTTTTCCCAATAAATTTTGGTGACTACTATTTCTAAATTCCTTGTGATATTGAAATGCCGAGAAGCAAATTATTCCAGGCAGCCTTATTTGCAAAAATGTCAAGGAAATTTAAAGCCAAATTCAGGCCAATATCTTTACAGCTGTTACAGAATGTACCTAAAATGTCTTTGTAATATCTAAATCAATTTTTAGTGCTTGGGTAAACTGCATTCTTCTTTATTGGGAAAATAAATAATCATATGGATTGGGAATGAGAGGCCATATTCTGGGAAAAAAAGAACATTTCTGCAACCAGCAGAAAAAAAAATAGAAAAATCAACAGAATGACAGTAAAGTATAAAGTTGTAAATCCATTGAAAAAAAAATTAACAGCTGAACCAGCCTGTGCTGATGTAAAAACTCTGGGTTTGTGTCCTGAGGTAAAGTTCATCTCAATTTTCTTCTTTGGAATACAGGATATTTTTAATTTCTAATTGGTAGAGATGTAACTTTTTTCTCTCAGAAATAATTAACATTGTGATTTAGGCTTTTCTCCTGCTGAAACGTCTGTTATCTGACATAAATTTTTGGAATTATTTGTCTTTGGCAGGAGAGCTTCCAAATGACTTTCAATCTATGCAGAAACGCTTATTGGAGGCTGTGGTGTCTCATTCCTAGATGTGACCAAAACCAGGGATTAGGACTGGATGACCCTTAAGGTCCATCCCAACTCCTAAAAACATCCTATGATTCTGTGACTCTTGGATGCAAACAAACTTTACATACAACATAAATGAAGGTCAGCACAAGTTACAACTTAATCATGCTCTCTTGTGGCAAGCACATTCTTCTCTCAGGACTTTTCATAGAGAGCACAGAGAGAAATGAAAAAGAAAACAATTTCTATTCTGCTCCTTGTTTTTCTCATGTGGAATGTGTTTGGAGAATCGTTTACCTGGGGTGATTGCTTGACTGGATTCTGGTGAGGATTGTTTGAGCCTGTTGGCAATCCAACCCACCTGGGTCTGGATTCTTGAGAGAGGGTTGCGAGTTAGTTAAATATGGTAGTTAGAACAAATAGGTTTGTAGTTTTAGTA